AGTAAAATGTAAAGTAAACTTCATTCTGTTTCGTTTTCACTCTCAAATTCACATTTCCGATTTTTTTTCTTCTTCAAATAGTTCATATGTAATGATCATTCTTATTATATTATTTGATAAATTCTGTTCTTCGTTTTTATATTTTTTTTAATCATTCGTTTTATAGATTTTTAGCACTTAAAAGTTGAATTATTCCAAAACAAAAGTTTTAGAAATTTTTTTATTCCAGAATTAATCTCTAATAATTTAAAACTGGTAGTATTTTGTGTCGCTTTCTTATTATGAAAAAAAAAATTTCAAAAGAAAAAAACTGCAAAAATACTGCATTTTAATAGCTTCCGTTATTTTTTAATTAAAAATTTCCTAAAAAAATTGATCCCTTGAAATGACATGAGAAAAAAACGGATGATATAATCTCGCAAGTTTTCGGAATTTCACTTTTAAATTATCAAATTTCTTAAAAGAAAACCAAACAATCCTGGAGAAGAGAGAAAAAATGAAAGACCTTTAAGGCAAATTCTCACGAAAAAAGGCCATACTCTTCCATAGTCCTTCAACAAAAAAAAAAAAAGAAATTGCTCGATAATACTTAAGGAAGGTATGAGACTCGTTGAGTGCTGAAAATTGCCAAAAATCTTTTGCTACTTTTTTATATTTTCAAAATTAAAACATTTAATTAACGTTCTTCCCAAGAGATAAACTCACAGGAAGTAACTTTTCCACCCTTTGAATTAATTTACAAAACAAAATGAACATCATGGCTAAGACCGATTTCCGAAAAACCACTCGGATATAAAGTGAAGAAGGAAATTAAGGTTTATATTAAGTATCCAGACTTGGAAGGTCAAAAAGTAAAATATCAGCTAGCATTCACCGGTCATTGAATTTGATGATGCATTTTAGCTGCTATCAAATTTTATGAGCAATAAGAAATACAGTCAGTTAGATTACAAATAAATTCTGCTAACAAAATGAACTTTTCATCTTTCAACATCTTTGATACTAGAAAAATAGCTATGTCTGAAATCAAGACTGTACAGAACTGTTACAATAGTTCAGAATCGATCAAATAAAAAAAAAGTAATGTTTTTCCATTTCATTGATGCTTTAGGAAATATATCACGTCATACATCTTTCTACCATAACCAATTTCTTTGCCACTCTCATAACATTTAAAAAGCCTTCCAGATCCGGTAAAAATTCTGAAAGGCCTACTCATAAAGGTGTATTAATAAAACTATCACAGAATTGCTAGTCCTCAATAGCCGAAAAAAATCCGATAGACGTTTCAAAATGCAACATTTTTTTTTGTTTTTTTCTTCTTTTTTAAGGATAAACCGGAGGAAATCATTAATTCATTGACTCAGGCCCTCATCCAAACATTCATTTGACAGTCAGTTAATGGCCTCAATCATCCTTTCTTTTGCACAGACACAGACACATACACACACACACACACATCACATCACAAAGACAGCAAGGGTTAAATTGCATCGAATTAATGACAGCTTGATTTTTCGCTTCTTTTCACCTATTCAATCTCTCATTGTTTTCCATTTTCTAAAGCCTACACTTAAGCCTAAGTCTGGGCCTAAGTTTTCTTTTAACAGAAGAAAATATTTTTTTTAAGAGCATATTTTACATTTTTACATATTTCTATGTATAATGAAATTGCTTCTCCTTTTAATTTGAAACTATGAAGCTTTTCTTTAACAAAAAAATAAAAGAGCAGCTCAGTTGATTTGATACCTATTTTCATTAATTTACACTATTGAAGTTAGTTTTGAAAATTTTCGAAAACAAGATTGACGTAAGTAATATTTTGCATGTTAATATTGGACTCTTTACTTCCTGTTTCATATCAGTAAGTTATCTATGACACTGTTTAACATAATGCTTATCCATTTTGACCTCACACTCTTTTCACATCAACAAAACTGGTTAAATTTGCATTCTCAGTTATCTGTTGTCCTTATTCAAAGTCAATATTTTAATGCAAAACATGTTAGCGTGGGCTATTTACGCTCATAAGGTTTCCGTTGTATTAAGCACTTTAATTAGCTTTATTCTCCAAAGAATAAACTTTTCGTTTTTGCTTTCGAACTTCAAATAAATCGTATTTTTATTACAATTTATTATATCAGTTCGTTTCCATTCTCTCATGAATCAATCAAATAATCTGTAAAGTGTTGCAAAATATTCGTTTAAAAATTTCAAATGATCAAAAAGAAAAAAGAAAACTCCAATCAGAAAAATTTTTTTTTATTGAGCTATATAATAAAAAATTGATATCTTTAATGTCAATTAATTCTTTTTTCTTTCTGAATTAATTGTGCAATCAATGAAAGCTAAGAAATATGTGAATTTTTAAACTGATCAGATATGATCTCTTTCAATCGGACAAATAATCATTTTTCAGTTATATTAAGAATAAATGGAGGGTTGAGTTTTATTATGAAATCATTGAATTATTAATATAGCAATTATCTGATCGCAATGACTGGAATTGATAAAATGTTTCAATATTTATCTAAAGTGATTGTACGATGATCGCTGGACGTTTACGTGGCAGTTTACGTAACGGCGCATTGCAGCAGAGTGGTCAGTAATATTTCTTTTAATATTTAATCTGTTGCTAATTTTATTCAAATATCATACTAAACTTTCTTCCTCTAGCAAGTTTATTGTAGCATTTCAACAAAATTAGAAAAAAGAACGAAAAAGTTGAAAAACACAAATATTTCTATTTCAAATAAATTTCATTGGAAAATTTTCATTTTGAAAAGATTAATCTTTTTCAGTTAATCATATATCTCTACTACAAAATATTATATTAAAAGTTTAAAAAAAAAATTCATCATTTCTCAAATTGTTAAGTTTGTAGGAAAATTTTTGAAAAATAATTATTTTCTTCCCAGCTAAGGCTCACAATAATATAGCTTGAAAAGTTAATATAGCAAGTTTACTTGGATGAGTGACAATAACGATTTATTCTATAGTTTATTGGAAAGCAATCTAAATGAATTAAACTCAATAAGTTTGAAAGAATTTTCACACATACACTTTTATGATCTATGAATGCTATCCATTGTTCATGAAGAATGCAAGCATTTCCGGATAAATAAGAAATGAAACACAAACCGGATTGGATTTATTTTATCCTCTTCAGAAAGTTAGAGTGATTGCGAACTAATGCTTTTCTATCGATAAAATCATTGATTTTTTATTTTATATTTTGTTTTTTCGTTACCAAAAAACAAACTACATTCTTGTTATTAGGGAAAATTATAAAAATTATTTTCTTGTTGCAGTTAACAATAAGTGATAAAATAAAACGAACTTATAAATATAAACGAAGTTTAGTTTATGAAAAATTACAAATTATAATCAACATTTTGCGCATAACATGTTAATAATAATTATTAACACTATCATTATTTGATTACTTCATTTTTTTCTTTTTATCTCTTTGCTAAATTTCGCAAGTTTCTGTCAGAAAATTTTTAACATCAATTGTAGGAAATAAATGCATAACTGCAATGCTAATTTATATGAAAAATGAATTGTTTCATAAAATAAACAATTTCTCGAGGATTCTTCTCTTCCTTGTTGCAAAATTAAATCTTTTGATTCAATACATGTTTCAATTTAATTTCTCAAATTCATCGTAACTATTTCAAGCGCATTAATTTACACCAAAATTGGTATAGTTCGATGAAAAATGCTAGCAATGTCCTCTTTTTTTTTTAATACTTTTTAATTTCTGAAAATGGAATTGCTTGCATTAATAATGCTCGTAATAGTATTGCTATTATAAATATACTAATAATAGCACCACTGTTATAAAATATATAATAGCATTGCTATTATGTATTTATAATAGCGGTGCTATTACAGAATTATTTATAATATAGCATACATTAATAATAGCATTGAGTAAATTTGCTTAAGATGGAAGAAATATATCTTTCATTAATGAATGTTTACTACGAAAAAATTCATTATTTTAATTATTATTGCTTTTGCAACATTTACCGTAAACTCTCGATCATTTCATATTAATTGCATTTAAATTGCATATGCTCATGAAATTTTCGAGCAGTTAAATGAATGATATTTGTTGATAAGCAGTTGAATGATATTTGTTGATAACAATTCTTCAACATATTCAAATTAATTTTAGCAATGCAATTTATTTGATGAACAGACAAAAATATCGAGATATTGGTATTAATAGAAACGAAAATAGAATTTTATCACGCGAATTAAATCGTGTAAGCGTTGATCGGAAAAATAAATTTGGTTGGAATAATGTGAAAAAGATCTCAGAGTGAGCCATCTTACATTTTCATACAAAAAATTTGAAATTTTTTATTTAAATTCTCGAAATAAGCACAAGATATCATTCATCATTAGTGAAATATATTGGGATAGCAAAAAATGGCACACAATTTTTCAACAATTGTTATGCACTTTTCAAATAAATTTTAATATGGAAATGTCAAATACTTGAATGCTCCACATTTTAAATAAATAGCCATAGCAATAGCAGTTACAAAAATGTAAAATGATGGATATTTCAGCGATTCTAAAATGGATGCGCAAACGGCACTGGTTGAAAATGAAAATACTTTCGATTTTCATTTACTTCTTAATATTGGTGGTTCACATTTTCGCATTCGTTACTCAACTATACAGGTATGTTCTTAAAATTAAATTTGCACATTTTAATATTTGGAATTAAATTTCTTCATATGATTTGTAAAATTTATTAAATGAAAGCTTTCTTATTGTTGCTAATCATAATTTATCTATGGGATAAAATGTTACAGTATCGATGTCCAACATCGTTATTAGCTGAATTTTGCCGTGAAACACATGCAGCAAGAGTGGAAAGTTGTAACGGTTATTTATCTGATACACGAGAGTATTTTTTCGAACGTTCTGGAAAATTATTTGAACCAATTTATGATTTTTTAACAACCGGACATTTTCATCGAACAAGTGATATTTGTTGCGAAAGACTCTTCAAAGAACTGGATTTCTGGAAAATTAAAAAGTTATTTAAAAAAATTTTTTTTTGCTCTTTAAATACTATTTAACAATTAACGGAGCTGAATATTGTTTTTATGCAGTTGATAGCTTTAACTAACTTTTGCAAAAATTAGCATCACTAAATGATCATCGACGAGAAATGATTGTGATTTTACAATTTGCAAAAAATTTTCCACTAATTTTTTTCTAAATTGAGATATTTGCAAATGTGTTATAGTAAATGCATCAGTAAGGTGGGCAATTGACCTATGGATTTGTAATAGATAGCCAATTTTGAGTTACTTTAATTAAAAAATAAATCTCGTCATTCGCGATTTTTTTAAAATCTACTTTCAACTGAGGTACAAATGGAAGCAGATAAAAATCATTTCAATCAAAAAATCAATTTAAAAAAAAGAAAGTTTTGACAAGCACATTTATGGAATATAATTCTGTCACTTTTTTGATAAAAGAATTTATCATTTTTATAGTAATAATGAAAATAAATCGAAAAGTATCACAAAATTTTTAGCTTAAATTTTATATTATAGTGAAAAATACATATTAGTCAATGAAAATTTATGCAAGTTTTTTTTTCTAAATTTACTCGCATATACTGAGTGAACAACCAATAGTGGCATCGGTAGATGGAATAAATTTAATTTCTGCAACAAAAAGTTTTTTAAAAAAAAATTTTCAACTTTTCTGAGTTTAAACTCAGTGTAAATACCATATTTAAATGTAGTATCTTAAGTGATAGCAATAAACGTAATATTAAAGTATAAGTGATAAATTTGAGGCAGTTTAACTAAGACCTTCGTAATAATGCTAAAATTGTAATTTAATGATATAACACTTTATCGGCATCACTGATTTCTAGTGATAACAGTAATGTCATCTTTGTTTATCAAGTGAAATAATAGTAAACTTATTACTCAGGGATTTTTTTGCGCCATGCTGCATGATGATGATCAGTGAATATGAAAATGATGAATTAGCGAACGGAGACAAAGATTCTCTTGCTTATGGTTCGTTTATTAAAGGTTAAAAATTTTTTATTGTTTTATTGCTTTTGAAAAAAAAGGAAAAAATTTTTACTCTAAAATTATTTTAATAAAAATTTAAATGATAGAATTGATATGATTCTAAAATAAGAATGCCGAATAGTTTAACATATCGTTTTGTTAAATTGGTGAAGATTTTCAACGATTCTATATTGACTACTTAAATCTTTCTTCTCTTAAAATTACTTAAATTTTCTTGTGAAAAAATGGGATGGGAAATTTTTGTAAACTTCTTAAAAGTTTAGCAATGAAGCAATATTAATTTTTCGATGCATTAAAGGTGATGAATTTGATGGAGTTTGCTGGGATGATCAAAGGCGTAAATTGTGGCTTTTAATGGAAAATCCCGGTACAGGCACCGCGGCTAAGGTTACATTTTTTTTAGAAAAAAAAACGCATGTTGAAACTACGAAAAGCTATCTAAGTTTTACATTTTTACATTTAATTTTTACATTAAATGAGAAATAAAATGATATTTCTGGTATTTAAATTAAATTTCAATAAATTGGGATTTTTTTTCTAAATATATATCTTGAATTTGTTTCTAACTGAAATGTTCTTTTTTTTAAATATCATTTACATTTCTCTTTTTTAGATGAATTAAACTTTTTTTTAAGTGAATTGATATTTAAGTAATTATGAGTGAAATGTTGAAAGATAGATATATGCGCACTTGTTTCAAATATCATTTCATTTATGGCGTCTTCTTAATCATTTACAGATTTTTGCGCTTGTAAGCATAATTATGGTTGTGGTATCGGTGACTGGTATGATCCTCGGTTCAACACCAGAATGGCAAACTTTCAATTACAATATGAGTGCAACAAGTGCAAAACTTGATTTTCGACTTCATTCCACTTTGGAATCTATTGAATTGGTGCGTCATGATTGTAATATTTAGCAGCACATGGAGAATCTTTTCTTAATTACAAGCTTTGAATTAGCATCAATTAGTGGATAATTGCTCAAATTGAAAAATTGATGAAATAGAAGGTATCGTCAGTTTACCTGATTATTAGGTGTAATTTTCACTTGAAAAAAAAAGTCCTTAAATTGAGATTAGAGAAAGCTATTTGTCTATTTAGAAAAATGTTCAATGGAATTTTGAGAGAGAGAGAGAGGCAACTTTTGCAGATTGTGGTAAGCATTTAGGTGATTCGTACACATCAAACGTTTGAATTCTCTCATCAATTAACACATGGATGAGAAAGAGAGAAAAAAGCATAAATATGAAATTAATATTTAACTGAAATTTTAAATTTTAAATTCAATTTTAGGTTTGTATAATATGGTTTACACTCGAATATTTTGCTCGATTTATTGTCTGCGCGCGAAAAAAAAAATTTATATTAGAACCACTGAATATCATTGATAGTTTGACAATCATACCATTTTACGTGGAAATTTTACTTTCTACTTGCGGTAACATTTCTTTCTCTAAATGTTTTCATTCATTGAATGCTAATTTTAGAACTTTTAAATTAGCAAAGTGCTTAGGGCTACATATTTTAAGTATGACTGGTTACCGTCACTATCATTCTTTATTATCAGCAATATTCAGTTATTTCTATGAAGTGCAACTTATCACTGTTCGCAATGCTACATCCAACAGACAATCATAATATTGTCGCAAAAGTTTTTTGTCAGCTTTATTCTAATAGATTCTTGTGAGGTATTCAGTAGAGGGATTGCAACTCTTTGTTGAGATGTTGGTCCTTTGATTATGAAATAAGANTTGAGTCCTATTCCAATGTGGCTGGTTGAAGCAGAAGAACGATGTGAAGACATGCGTTGAATTGTACTTTATTGCGAGTGAAACCCACTCAAACTTGG